AAGAGGAGGCTCAGGGGAGACCTCCTCACTCTCTACAACTCCCTGACAGGAGGGGGGAGCCAGGGAGGGGTCGGGTTCTTCTCCCAGGAACCAGCAGTAGGACAAGAGGGCTCGGTCTGAAGCTGTGCCAGGGGAGGTTTAGGTTGGATAGAGAGGGTGCTCAGCCATTGGAATGGGCTGCCCAGGGAAGTGGTGGATTCTCCATCCCTGGAGGTTTTTAAGATGGGACTGGATGTGGCATCAGTGCCATGGGCTGGGAACCACAGCGGGGTTGGATCAAGGGTTGGACTGGATGATCTTGGAGGTCCCTTCCAACCCAGCTGATTCTCTGATTCTATGAAATCAGAGAGAGAGGATTCTCTTGCTTGTCACCTCCTGCAAACACTGAGGAGGAAATGTGTGCCCAGGAGCCTCCTCCTCCTGGGTTCTCCTCCTCCTCCCAGCCATCCCTGGGTCACACCCCACGGGAGGGTTTTTGGAGCATCACTTCTCTGCAGCCCCAGCTGGGTTCTGCTGCAGCAGAAGGGGTTTGGGATGCTCAGGTCAGTGCCAACATCTGGGTGGAGGTGTAGGGCAGGAAGAGCCTTTGGGATCTGGTCCTTATTTCCTGCCATTCCCCCCCCAGACCGTTGTTCAGGAATCACTGGGGTCCCCTGATCTTCCTGATCAGAAACAGCCTTTTTTTGGTGTCAGAACTCTGGGTGCCACTAATTCCTTATTGTCTTGTGGGGGAAATTCAGCAGAATGAGAAACACCAGCAGATTCCACCCTCCCTCAGAGCTGGAACTGGCACAAGCAAGAGTCATTTCCATTAAGCAGAAATGCAAAATGCAAATTATAATCCAGTAAGCACATTTTTTGTGTTTGAAAGCCCCAAACCCCCTGATTTTTCCATTTGGAGGAATCAAGTAAGACCCTATAATCCAATAAATAATCCCCTCACTGGATTCTCTGGGCTGTGCTGCTCCCTGCTACTGTTTTAGACAAGTGTTTATAAACCAGCTGGTGTAAGAACAAAAGCCAAAAATGAGGCAGGAGACCAAGTGCAAGGAGACCTGGGCAAGTGCTTCTCTCCAGTTGTTTCAAAAGCCAAAAGCTTAGAGAGAGTTTGTAAATGAATTGGAAATTTATTCCAAATTGATGGTGCTCTTGATTGAAAAGACACTGAATCATGTTATTAATACACTCAGATCTCAGGAGGTTCTTTTTTCCACTCTCTGTTTTTTTCCATCAGTGGGAAGGCTCCGTTCATTAATCTCAGGATAAATAACCCATCAGGTTCCAGAGGCACCGAAATCCAGATCCCTGGCAGATTTTTTTCCATACTTTATGAATAATAATAACATTATGCCTGTAATGTAGTCACTTAATGTTAAGTGCTGACTGGCCAGTGTAGGAGAGGGATGCCCAGGGATGAGCTGGTCCCTGTCCTTTGTATTCACCACGAGTCCCAAGTTCTCTGGCTGCACTTTGAGTGGTGTGTTCAGCCCTCTGGAACAGGTATTTATAGGAGAGGGAGAGGGGAGTTGACTTTGGGGTGAATTCCTGGCAGTTGGAGGTGAAGGCTGAGTGCCCAGGCGGGTCCCTGGGAGGAATGGGCACCTCGGTGGTGCATTAACCAGGACTCAGCTGTGGGTTTGCTGCTCCCAGCTCCCAAAATGGAGCAAAATCAAGGCTGATGGTGCTTCACAGGTCACCAGGGAGCTCATGGAAGTTGCTGCCCAGATCAGCTGCTGGGTGGGCACAGAGGGGCTCAGCCCGAGCAGCAGGAGAGGGGGACCCACAGCACAGGGACGTGGAAGTGCCTGTGGGCACAGTGCAAATCCAACAGCAGGGAGGAAGGGAGAGAAAAGCCCTTATCTGCATTTCAGAGAGGGTAAGATGCTCTAACAGCTTCAATTCCCTGACTTAGGGATCGGGGAGCTGATGTTGCACCATCGTGTCCTCCTGCACCGGGACCAGTCCAGGGTGTGTGGGGTCACCTTGGAACTCCTCAGCTCTGGATCTCATACCTTTTACCCACTAAAACATCTTCTAAGGGAACCAAGGGAACAGGGAGGCAGGAAGAAGTCCCAACTGCTTTTCCCAGAATGGACAAATGGTTTGGAGTGAACTGAGATGAGTTGCAGGGGCTCTGCCTGAGCCTCCTGCTTCGCTCGGGTTTATGGAGCTCTGCTTTTGTTGTGCTCAGTAAGAGCAGCTTTCCAAAATGGCAGATTTCAGGCCTCATTTAGCTTTAATTTCCAGCAAATTTTAAAGTGTAAATGTAATTTTAGATGTTTGGGGTTTTTTTTTTCCTCCTTTCTCCTCCTTCCTGATGCCCTGTCTGTGTTCGCCGAGGAGCGATGCGGGAAGGGGCTCACAGTTGTACTCTACACTCCCTCCTCCTCTTAAAAGCTGAGCAGAATATTTGCTTTTATAGTGTTTGTTGTTTCTCCGAGGGAATTAAAGCTGCATCCAAAATGAGTCAGGGCTCTGGCTGCTCTTTGGCAGTTTCAGCAGAGAGAAATGATTTATTTTAAGCGATAACAGTGGGAAAAGGAGCAGAGTTTTGTCTGCTGCTCATTTGACTGCTGAGGACATGGGAGGTGGCAGGGCTGGGATTCGGGTCTAGACTGTTTTATTCTTCCTCTCTCTGCATAGTTGGGTGGGTTATGGGTTACTGGTTAAATTAAACAGCCTGGAAATTACCAGCCCTGAAGGAAAGGCTTTGAGACTCCACAAGCCCTGAGCTGTCCCTTCTTCCAGCAGGAGGTCCTGCTGATGTGTCAGACATCATTAGGAGAGTGTTTGGGATGGGAGCAGAGCCTGAAAAAGAACTGGGGGTTATGAGGAGCAGCTCAGAGGAGGGGGGACATGCAAAGGACACAGGGCTCACATGTCACCTCAGTGACAGGCACCACTGGTGCCTCGTGCCTGAGAGAGGGGCTGGCTGCTCCTCACACCCCTCTCACTGTGTCCAGGGGGGGTTTTCTTGGCAGAGTGAGGAGAAATTAAATGTTTCATGAGTACCAGCACTTGCTCCTTGCCCTGCTCAGGGTGCTGAGGGGGCAGCTCAGTGGCCTCGTCTGAGCATCGTCTGAACGTGCCCGACCAGGACCCAGAGAAATTCCCTTCTCCCAGCAGCTTCTCGCTGTAAAACTTGCAGGAAGCAGCAAAGGAAGGCAAGGGGAAACCTGAAAGCTTTTCAGAAAATGGATGTGTGGGGATTGGAACCCGATTAATTATTGCTGAGCTCTGGAGAACCTCTGAGCTGGGATGTTTTCTGTAGCAGAGGCACTTTGTAAGAGGCAGGAGCTTCCCAGATTCCCCCTGCAGGGATGGGATCGTGGGGATCAGCTCTGGTTGTTGTCAGGGGTCCCACTGTCCCTGTTTGCAGGCCCCCCCCAGTGGCCTCAGAAACCATTTTTTTCGTGTTCCTAATTCATTTTACACCTCCCACTGCAGCCAGAGGGAATTATTTACCCCCTTACTGCTCTCTTGCATGATTAGATCCTACTGATATTTAAATTGCTGTTTCAGACATTCAATCCTTTCATCCTTATATTTATGACTTCTCTTGTGTCTGGCCCATGCAGGTCCCAGCTGATCCACACTTCCATTAAACCATTCCCACGAGTCCCCTCCTAATCCCAAAAGTAATAATTTGGGGGTCGTCCGTGTGTGTTTTTTGGCCACATGAATAAGTGGAGGAGGGTGGGCAGGAGGGAACTGATGGACGGGCAGGCAGTGAAATGGTAATTCAGAGCTTTCTTCCGAGGTGATGGAATCTGACTTTTATCCCAGCATCTCTGGGAAATGACACTGGAATCCGTAACGAGCTCCACCTCGGGAGCCACGATGAGTTGTGTGCACACAGCCCAGAGCAGTTATTAGTTTCCTCCTGTCAGACAGATCTGCCTCCAAGCAGCTCCTGTGTTAACAGGCTGTCAGCAAACCCAGCAACAAGAGGGGAAGGCTCCTCTCCTCGCCTTGGTGGGCTGTGCTCGTGGCTTCCCTGCTGGAGTTTGTGCTTCCCTGTGGAGAACAACTGGAAAAACTGGAGTGTGTGGTGCAGGGAGGGCCCAGGATGGGTCACCATGGGTCCCTGCTCTCACAGAGGTTTTGGGGTGTTGCTGGGGAAGGGGGCAGCCAGGAGTGTTCTGGGATTTGTGGTTGAAGCCTTTCCTTGATTCCTGTGATTTTCTTTTGGGTGCTGTAATTTCGGAGTCAGTGAGGGGCTGGGGGCAATCACTGCAGGTGCTTATTTTGTCCTGGCAGGGCTCTGTGCTCCACCATCCCCAGGCCTTTTTGTTCCTGGGGTGCTGAGGCACTTCAGACATAAAGTTGGGCGCTGACAACCCTGTAATTGTATTCCCAGGATATTCTCCCTCCTCTGAAGGGATAATTGGCTATGGCTGGGCAGTGAGCAGTGCCACAGTGGGAGGGCAGCAGGCTCCCTTACTGCTCTCCTTCCTTTCAATGCTGCACAGTTGTTGACATCCCAGCATTAGGACTTGGCCTCTGATCCTTGTGGGTCCCTTCCAACTCAGGATATTTTGGGATCCCAAAGGCAAAGTGGCACACTCAGCTCCAGGCTCCCAAACTCCTGGAATGTGGAGGGACTCCAGGCTTGGCACCACTGCTTTGTTAAGCTGTGGAACCACGAGGCTGATTATTGCAGGATAAGGCCCTGCAGTAAATGGACACGAGTCCATCAGGCAGGGGGGGATTCTCCCAGGATGTGCCTGGGAGAGGAGCAGGGCTGGAGCTTCAGGGCCTGAGTGGATGCAGGGACAGAGTGTTTTCCAGTCCCCTGAGAGAGATGCAGGTCCTTGGCAAGGCAGAGCCCTGCTCTGAGCTGGGGAGTGGTTTGGGGATCCTGCTGGGTTGATGCAGCTGATTTTCCATGGAACAGCCCCTTCCCTCTGAGCTGATCCAGCAGCTCTGCAGCACATCTTGCTTTTACTGAGAACAGTTCACTGCAGGAGGAAAGCCTCGTTTTTTGGAGGGGTCGTTTGTGTTTCGTGGTGTTTTTGTGGTTTTTTTTAACTTTGCCATTTTGCTTTCCAGTGATATCCTGTGGGAACCCAGGAACCCCCAGCAATGCCAGGGTCATCTTCAATGACGGCCTGGTCTTCTCCAGTTCCATCATTTACCAGTGCAGGGAGGGCTATTACTCCACAGGGGTGCTGAGCAGGCACTGCACCGTGAACGGGACGTGGACTGGGACCAGTCCAGAGTGCACAGGTGAGCACTGGGATAGATCCCTGGGGGATGAGGGCCCTGGGGACGGGGTGTCTGGGCTCATTGTAGCCTGTGTCACCCTGAGAAACTGTGCTGAGCTGTGTCCTGGCAGCAGCAGAGGCTCAGCCCGTGCTCTCTGCCAGTGCCTAATGGAAAAGTCTTGCTTGGAGTTTGTTTTCTTCCAGTTGGATGAAGGGAGCCCTGTAATAATTCCGTGAGTAGATGTTGGCCAGCCTCGAGGGGCTCTCTGGGGCTGCTCCTGAACGTGAGAGTTCCTGGGAGGAGCCTGAGCAGAGCCCCTGCTCAGAAAAGCCTCGGGGAAGGGGTTGTGTTTCCTGCAGAGGAACGTGGACGGGGCCAAACGTGGCCTTACATAAGAGGCAGTAACTGGGCTGAAGAGGGGGGGACCTCCCTTCCCCCAGCCAGGACCTGACCTGGGTTTGCTTTAATGTTTAATGTGTGTTAATACAGCTTCTTGCAAAGTCTTAATGTGCCATTAAGGTCCCTGCTCACTCCACTGAGGACAGGCACAGCCAGCACATGAGCCAGCAGTGTGGCCAAGAAGGCCAATGGATCCTGGCCTGGCTCAGGAACAGGGTGGCCAACAGGTCCAGGGAAGTGATTCTTCCCCTGGACTCAGCGCTGGTGAGGCCACCCCTGGAGTGCTGTGTCCAGTTCTGGGCCCTCAGCTCAGGAAGGACATGGAGGGGCTGGAGCAGGTCCAGAGAAGAGCAACGAGGCTGGGGAAGGGACTGGAGCACAAGTGCTGTGAGGAGAGGCTGAGGGAGCTGGGGGGGCTCAGCCTGGAGAAGAGGAGGCTCAGGGGAGACCTCCTCACTCTCTGCAACTCCCTGACAGGAGGGGGGAGCCGGGGGGGGTTGGTCTCTTTTCCCAGGCAACTCTCAGCAAGACAAGAGGGCTCGGTCTTCAGCTGTGCCAGGGGAGGGTTAGGTTGGAGATTAGAAAGAATTTCTTTGCAGAGAGGGTGCTCAGCCATTGGAATGGGCTGCCCAGGGAAGGGGTGGATTCTCCATCCCTGGAGGTGTTTAAGATGGGACTGGATGTGGCATCAGTGCCATGGGCTGGGAACCACAGCGGGGTTGGATCAAGGGTTGGACTTGATGATCTCAGAGGTCCCTTCCAACCCAGCTGATTCTGTGATTCTCTGATTCTATAATTCTCCACATGCTGGAGCCCGGCTCCCTCTATGTGCCGTGTGCTTCAAACCCTCCCTTGCCCACGGCCCTCTGACCACATCCTGCCTGCCCAAAGCACTCGGGACCATCAGGTGTCTCGTTCAGGCAGATCCAGAGGTGTGAGAGGAGGGCTGGGCAGCCAGAAATGCTCCTCCCCTTGCCTTTGGCAGTGATCAACTGCGGCGACCCCGGCGTGCCGGCCAACGGCGTCCGCCTGGGCTCCGACTTCACCTACAACCAGTCCGTGGTGTTCCAGTGCACCCCCGGCTACATGATGGAGTCAGACAGGGCCTCCTCCCTCACCTGCACCAAGGACCGCACCTGGAATGGCACCAAACCCGCCTGCAAGGGTAAGGAGGGGTCCCCAGGCCACCAAAGTTTTTGGGGACGAGGTAAAAAGTAGCGGCGACTTCTCCGTCGTGCCCGGAGCCCCCCTGGGCGCTTCTCTTGGCTCTGTCGTTCCATCTCTCCCCTATTTATGGCTCTTACACCATCTATCACATTTTACAGCACCAAAACCTTGCTCTCTTTAAGTCCATCAATCACCACACCGAGCCTGGGAGGGAGGCAGCTGCTCTTACCTGTGTGGTAGAGAGGGAAGAGCGAAGCCCAGGGAGCAAAGTGACTCCTTCCTCTTCACAAAAACTCAGATCAAACTCCACTGAAATATTGTGTTTTGCAAGCACACGCTTCTTGGCATCGTCTGGAATCATCTGAAAAATGTTTCCTCTGAGCCTTTTCATTATTCCTCTGTTCTGAGATTGCTCCTGTGGTTCAGAGATAGAAAAAGGAAATAATAAAGCAGTTGCTGGGCAGGCTGGATCTCTTCTGTGAGTGTTTTACTCACCCACCAAGTGCAGATAAGACTTGTAGCAGCATCTGTGCACTTCTTTAGCAATCTGGAAAATTCACCTGTCATCATGCTGATACAAATACAGACCACAGAGGAACTTTATAATGCACTGCAGCTCCTTCAGAGGCTGTAAAGAGCAATTCTTACGCTGCTCTTTCATTCTCTGCACTGAGCTAATGCTGCAGGAATAATCCAGAATGTGGCCAAGAGTCATGTTTGGAGGCCAGGCTGATTTGCACAGGTTTAGCATCTCTCCCGATGCTCCCCTGAGCTGAAAAGCAAAGCACTGCAAAAATGTCATATTAAAACACCCCAGAGTGGATGAAATACCGACAGGTTGTTGCTTTGGCTGCTGATCTGAAACCCAGCCAGGTTGTCCAAAACGTATCAATCTCCCAGGGAACCTGAGATGAGTTTTCACGCCAAGTCAGGGCAGGTTCTTCCCTTCAGCTGGAAATGAAGTGACTCTGATTTGGAGAGAGATCAGGGAAAATGTTTCTTCCCCCAGAGGGTGGTTGGCACTGCCCAGGCTCCCCAGGGCAGTGGGCACGGCCCCAAGGCTGCCAGAGCTCCAGGAGGGTTTGGATGATCCTCTGAGGGACAGGGTGTCTGTGCAGGGCCAGGGGTTGGGCTGGTGATGCATCTTCTATGGTTTGGTTAACTCCAAACTTCAGAGTAAAATCCTGGAGTTTTCACCCCAGTCTGTGCCATGTGTGTACTTCCCCTTTTCCCCTATAGAAGCCTCTTGCCTGAAAGTTTCTCTTGGGTGTTGAGATAAAATTATGGGAAAGGGTGGGGGAAGCCTGGAAATCAGATTTTAGATTTTTGTGGTGGCTCAAACCACCACACCAGGAGATGCCCTTGGAGGGCAGGACGTGGCTTTGACCCCACATGACCGTGCCCTTTGTGGAGAAGCGACGGGAGCTGAGCCTGCTTTTGTCTTTTGTCTCCCCCACAGCCATCACCTGCAGAGCCCCCCAGGCCATTCCCAACGGGAAGGTGGTGGGCACGGATTTCAGCTGGGGGGCCAGCGTGAGCTATGCCTGCCTGGAGGGGTACCAGCTGTCCCTGCCCGCCGTGCTGACCTGCGAGGGCAACGGCACCTGGAGCGGGGACGTCCCCCAGTGCTTCCGTGAGTAGGAGCCCAGCCAGGGGCCGGGAGGATCCTGCCCCAAAACCCGCTGGTTTGATGCCCTTTCCATCACCTCTGCTCCCAGTGTGGCTGGGTTTAGTGGCTGGGTTTAGTGGCTGGGTTTAGTGGCTGGTTTCGGTGGCCCTGCTGTGCCTCCTGCCCCGAGCTCAGGGGAAGTCGGGCATGAACTGAAGCCAGTGGGGATTTTTCTTGCTGTGATTATGCCTGAAGTGCCTCTGCCTCAAGGTCTGAACGCTCTGCCCACCTCCCACAGCAGCCAGATTGATGGGGGCACTGGTTTGCCAGTAAGGGGGTGGCCCTGGGGACACGGTTGGCAATAGAGATGTGAGGTCACACTTGGAACAAACCTGAGGATTTTCCTCCAAACTGGGTGCTTGTCCAGTGTCTCCCCAGTGGCTGGATCTGCTCCAGTCAGGGCTCCTGGAACTGCCAAAGGCCGTGGGGAAAAAGCCTTTGGCCAAGAGCTCTGTGTGGCAGCAGGAGTTGGGAATGTTTTGTGAGGGCAGAGTGGGGCTGGGTGGAAACCTGTGTGCCTGATACAGGAACTGATGCCAAAAACTACCAGTTCAGTGTCTCCTAATGCCAAAGGCAGCTCTGAGTTCCTTTTCCAGTGGCTGGCAGCTGCACAATAGCCATTTTCATATTAAATCACACGAAGCCCTCCCCGTGTTCCTTGCACCTTTCCCTGGATCCTGGATAATTAGTGTGACACAGAACCAGGTAGCAAAGTGACATGGGGCAATTAGGGAGACATTTGGAAGCTAAGCCTGCTGTTGGGGGGGAAAAGAGAGGAAAAAAGGGAAAAGATGGGGGAGAAGGTGCAAGTTAATTACCAGGATTACAAGGAGAGCAGCCAGTCATGGAATTGGTGGCAGGGTTTGGGCCGTTCACAGATCTGTCTGTAGCTTATTAACACTCCTTTCTCCTGAGGAGGTTCATGGCCATCCTGTTGTCCCTTTGCCCGTTCCAGCTGTGTTCTGTGGTGACCCAGGGACCCCAGCCCAGGGCAGGAGGGAGGACAGAGGCTTCACCTACCGCTCCTCCGTGTCCTTCTCCTGCCTGGCCCCGCTCGTGCTGGTGGGCTCAGCCCGGAGGTTCTGCCAGTCTGACGGGACGTGGAGTGGGACCCAGCCCAGCTGCATAGGTAAGGGAAGAGCTCTGGGCCCTCACCCAGCTTCCCTGTTGGTTTTCTTTTGGTTCTTTTCTTTTTGGTTTTCTCTCCTGAGTTTGCAGAAACGAGCGTTTTGTTGCCCTGAAAGTGGGGACGTGAAGGGACGATGCTTTTGGTTTGTGGGCACTGGCTGATAAACAACCCCTCTCCTCCTCCTCACTGCTTAGATTCCCATCCCTGGCAGTGTCCAAGGCCAGGCTGGAGCAACCTGGTCTAGTGCAAGGTGTCCCTGCCCAAGGCAGGGGGGTGGAACTGGATGATTTTTAAGCTCCCTTCCAACCCAAACCTTCCTGGGGCTCAGTGTGTGAACAGAAACCAAACTCCCCCAGCTTGCCTTGCTGAGCTGCAGCCTTGGGATTCAGGCTGACATTTCCACACCTTCCTCAGGTGCTCATCTTGAACCCTGTGACACCTCTGGGAGGTCTGTAACCAGAACTACTCCCAGCATTCTTGGCCTGTTTGAAGCCCTGGCTGCACTCCTGACCTGCAGGGCTCCTGTGATAAAGGGCATCACCACCATCCCCCCACGTGGGCAATGGGGAGAAACACATCCATGGGGCTGTTCCCTGTGGATTTCAGTCCTCCTGGTTCCATCCTGAATGCACCACCAACTACAGGAGTGCAAAAAGAGTCACGGCCTGAACCTCCAATTGATTTCACCAGGAGCTTTCTCACATCCAGGGGGCTGAGAGCACCTGCTCCTGTGATGGAAGTGTTGGATTGGAATGCTTCAGTGCTTCCTTGCAGATCCTTGTCTGGGATCCTGCTGCACGTGTGTGGGACCCACCTCTCAGAGGGCTGAACCAGCCAACCCTGTTCCTGCTGCTGAGGGAATGTGCTGAGGGTCTGTCTGCCCAAAGCAAACCACGAGGAAGGAGACTGGATATTAGGGAAAATTTCTTCATGGGAAGGGTTGCCAAGCCCTGGAACAGACTGTCTAGGGGGGGGGATTTAAAACCCAAAATGTAGGTGTGGCATTCGGGGACTTGGTTTAATGCCAGTGCTGGGGGAATGGTTGGACTCAATGATCTTCAAGGTCTTTTTCCAACCTTAATGGTTTATTGATCCTGTGAAAGGAAGAGAATTGTGTGTTTGCAAAACCTCACCCCAGGATGGCAGTTTGTGACCCAAGCAGCTGTACCCCAAGTGCTGTATTTATTC